TGTGCAAAGACTGTCTGACCAAATATGGCAGTTTGCAAGACATGAACACTTTAGTTTATAGAATTTAGCCTGGGGAGTTTTTCTCTTTCCAAAGCAATGGTAATACTCTGAGGTAGTCAATAGTGATAATTTTTTTTAACATTGTTCTTTCTATCATAGTAGAATTCTGTAAGGCCTACTTTCCCCCAAAATCCTCTTTTCTGCGGATAATTAAATAGTAAAAATAAACTTGCTTTTAAATTCTTGCATGACATTATATAGTATATATTACCTTGGCTCTAAAACATGAAAAAGTATATCTTAATTATATGGTTATGCTGCTGAATTTGGAGGTTTGCACCTAAGAGTTAATGCATGATTATGTATCTCCAGTTAAGGTTGCATCAGTTTTATGTTATGAATTGCTACTCTCTGGGATCTTTTAATCTGTGTGATAATAAATTTTTCTATATACTGAACTCTGACATTTCTTAAGGCACATTAGCCCGTTAGTTCCTGGGTAACTTTAACAAAATGTTATTTCCTAAAGCTTAACAATAATTTGACTATTTTTAAAACTTTTTTTTTTATATTCCATTATTTATACATTTTGATCATTATAACCCATCAACCTATGGTTATAATCTTATTTTCCATTTTCCAAGGATGACCTTTGTATCAGGAAAAGGAACTGATACGCAGAATCTTTCTTTGGGGACATATTGTAAATTTCAACAAGGGTATTAAGAGGAGCATTCAAGGCTAAATTGGAGTAAATGTTGGGCATTTGTATACTGCTGCTATAGTGAAGAGCCTTGAGTTAATCATTTTAGTATTTTTAATGTAGAGGTAATAAACTTCTATATGCCCTTGAAGTATGCTGGTAAATGGATTCTGGCAATGTAAGAGTAGAAACATGTCACATAAATACATTTTGCTGTGATATATGATTGTCTATGAATAGACCTGTTGATAAATCTGCAGAAGAGAAATGGTTATGTCTTTTTTGTTGTTAATCCCCACCAGAAGATATATTTTCCCTTTTTTTATTTTTTAGAGAGAGTGGAAGGGATGTGGGGGGTGGGACATCAATGTGAAAGACACACATCAGTTTGTTTCCTCCCACACTCACCCAAGTGGGGCCAGGGATCCAAACTGCCCTTGACATGGAATTGAACCCTCAACCCTTTGATGAGACTCTAACCACTTAGCACAGCAGCCAGGACAAGAAATGGTTATATCTTTATTGTATTGACCTGTTCAGTTCTCTGTGAATTGAATAAAAATGATTTCTGGCTAAAATCGTTTCATAACAGAAAGTCTTATTTTTGCTTTTGAGAAAAGATCTTTTCATATAGCCTTAAAAACATCTGTGGAACTTAATTAAATATTTCATTTTTTATTTTTTTATATTATGCAGTGTCTATTCCAGTGCTATTAATGAAGGTCCTCAGAAAATGTTTATTGATTGCCACGCTTATCAAATGTTCCACCATCCTTGTGTAACTGTGGACCAGGGTCTTTTTATATCAGAAAGAACATAAAACATGTCTTCTGCCAAACATTTGTGGTTGCCTATACACGTTTCCCTGAACATCAGAGGTCAAAGAAAAGAGAAACCATATTTACTGCATTTATCTTAGGCTTTGGTTATCTGTCATATTATTTGCTTGAGTGGTATTAAATTCACATAGTTTACGGAGAAATGAATAATATAAATGTTTCAGGTCTGAGTGTAGACAGGTTGATATTCTAAATGGAATAGATTCATTTTTTTTATCCTCGAGAACATTTTTTGATATTTTGTTCAGATAGAATGGGAGGGAGCGAGAAAGAGAGAGAAACATCGACGTGAAAGGGACACATTGAGTGGCTACCACCCAAATGACCCAACCAGGGCCGGGGAGAAACTGCAACTGAGGTACATGCCCTTAGCGGGAACTGAACCCGGGTCTCTCCAGACCGCAGGCCAACGCTCTAACCGCTGAGCCAAACCGGCCAGGGCTAGATTAATTTTTTTTTTCATTGTTGATGAGAAGAAACATGACTAATTTCTTAAAAGGAAGAAAAAATTTTGGATAATCCTGCATTGCTTGAAAATATTCATATTTTTATATTTATAAAACACTAATGTGAAAAGACTAGGTTACCTTAAAATCTGTACTCGCAAGTTCAGAAATATGGTCTGACCTTATGAATGAGTAGTATGTTAATATTAAGCTAACTTTTTCTGTGTTCCCAGATTTTCCAGTGGTCCTAAAGATGGGTTTCTGTTGTGGAAATGGCATCCAAATAATTTAAATACTTTGTTTCAGAGTTACTGGATTGAAGTGAAGCATACCTAGTGTTCGGAGTGGGGGGGGGGGTGCTTTTTCCTGAAATATCTACAGGAACATGGGGAAACCACTTATATGGTGTGTTTTTTTCAGGTGTCAGTGGTATTGCATTTAATCAATAGTGTTAAATGAATTTTATGTGCATTTTCTCCCCTTATATCTTTTATTAGGATACTGAGGGGAGAGTGTGAACTTTGGCATAAAAAAGATATAGATATCCCAAGTCTGGCACTTACTGGGTATATAACTAAAGATAACCTACTTAGTGACTCTGAGGCTCAGTTTCTTCACTTGTAAAAATGAAACTAATTATGCTTATATCAAGGATTAGGACTGGAAAACACCTGGCATCCTACTACCACTTTCCTGGAAATTCTCATTCACAAACGAATAGAGAGGGTTCAGTCCCCCCATTTTACATATGAGAAAACTGAAGCTATAACGTCATCCATTTCATACAAACAAGGACTGAGAAGTTCAACTCGAAGTTGGTTTTTTAAAAATATTGTATCAGACTGTTAACTTTTAAAAGTTTTAGTGAAGCTTGATTACTGACGAGAAAGTGAGATAAGTCTGAAAACATTGACTGTCTTATTTAGGCATTTTACTGTACTGATTTTGTGATTTTTATCCTAAAAATCCTATTAAGTAACAACCAGTCTTCTAAAACTTTTTTTGTTTGTTTTTCTTTTCCTTTATTGATTTTAGAGAGAGAGGAAGTGAGAGAGAGAGACAGAAATATCAATGAAAGAGAACATCGATTGGCCACCGCCTGCATGCCCCCCTATTGGGGATTTGGCGGACAACCTGGCCATGTGTCTTGACCGGAAATTGAACTGGCGACCTCTTGGTGCATGGGTCGATGCTCAACCATTGAGCCACACCAGCTGGACCTTTTAAAACTTTTATTGACCAATGAACGGATAAACAAGATTTGGTACATACATACATTGGACTGTTATTCAGCCTTAAAGAGAAAGAAAATTCTGACACATGCTACAACACAGATGAACTTTGAAGTGGTAATAAGCCAACCACAAACAGACAAATATTGGTATGATTCCACTACTTACATGAGTTCCCTGGAGCAGCCAAATTCATAGAGAATGTTGGTTGCCTAGGGGAATGGGAGTTATTGTTTAGTGCGGGGTGTTTAGCTGAAGAGGAAAATGTTATGATGGATGGTGGGGGATGGTTGTTCAACAATGTGAATGTACTTAATGCCGCAGAACTGGACATTTAAGTATGGCTAAAATGGTAGTGTGTTATATGTAATTAACCACAATTTTATTTCTTTTTAATCCTCATCCGAGGATATATTTCCACTTTTGTCAGATTGAGTGGGAGGGAGAGTAGAAGAGAGGGAGAGAGATAGAAACATTGATGAGAGAATATCAGCTGGCAGCCTTCTGCATGCCCTGCACTGGGGATTTGGCCCACAACTTGGGCATGTGCCCTGACGGGAATCAAACCTGTGACCTCTCGATGTTCAACCACTGTGCCACACCAGCCGGGCACAAATTCCTATATTTTTAAGTTTTTTTTTTTTTTTTTTTTTTTTATCCTCACCTGAGGACATTTTTCCATTCTTTGTTCAGGTAGAATGGGAGGGAGAGAGAGGAAGAGAGAGAGAATGAGAAACATCGATGTGAAAGGGACACATCGAGTGGTTGCCACCCGCATGACCCAACCAGGGCGGGGGACAAACTGCAACCAAGGTACGTGCCCTTAGTGGGAACCGAACCCGGGTCTCTCTGGACCACAGGCCGACACTCTAAGCGCTGAGCCAAACCGGCCAGGGCTAAGGTATCTTTTTTTTTAATGCATCTGGAATTGAACTAAAAGAGTAACTTCATAGTTTAAGGAAGTAAATTCTCACAGGCATTATAGGTTAAAGTTTGCCTAAAACAGGCTTTTAGGTAAACTGGTTTATCTTGTCTTTAAGTGCTATAGGCCCAAGATGAATAGTTTTGTTTTTGCTTTTTTAAGCTAAGCTGAAATTATTCAGAAAGCTTACATTAATATGGTTCTCTTAGCTCACTTAAAGTAATGAAAACAAAAACAGCTCTCAAATTCAGAGGCTGACTTAAACGAAGACACACTTATTGTTGAGCAATTAGTATAGTGATGGAAAGGAAAAGAATATTTTTTATAAAGAAGGGATGATTTTCTGTTGAGTTTTGTTAGATTTGTTCCACCCTTCCCTGGGATAGGCTGTGAGAAGTTCATGTAAAAACCAATGCAGGGAAATACATTTCAGAGCTGGGGGTTGCGGGGTAGGGGAAAGCGGAGATTAACATGGTACAGTTTTTTTAAAATACTGTATCTTCTTTGCACTCTACTTGATGAGTTTTATTTATTTTTTAAAACTTTTTTTTTCATTGATTTTAGAGAGGAAGGGAGAGGCAGAGAGAGATAGAAACATCCATGAGAGAGAACTTCGACTGACTGCCTCCTGCATGCCCCCACTGGGGATTGGGCCCACAACCTGGGCATGTGCCGTGACTGGGAATCGAACTGGTGACCTCTTGGTGTCTGGGTCAATGCTCAACCACTGAGCCACACCAGCTGGGCTACTTGATGAGTTTTATTATTTTTTTATTTTTTTGTTGTTTGGTATGTGCCCCTAGCAGGAACTGAACCCAGGACTCTCTGGTCCACAGGCCATTGTTCCAACCGCTGAGCCAAACTGGCCAGGGCTACTTGGTGAGTTTTAAAGGGCTACAAACCCACAGGATTTGGCCTGCTACAACATCTTTGAAATTTGATTCTTTTGCCGTTTCCTATCTTGTCCTTTTCTCTGAGCAGAGAGGGAAGTGTATCAGATTTGTGTTTTAGAAGGATACAACTGGCAGCAGCATAAGAGGATGGATTAGGGTGGGGAAATAATGGAGATAGGAACACTAAAGAGGAGAGATGCATTTTAGAAAAGAACAGTGGCACCTAGATATCTAGTTCTATAATTTTGTCTGTGAACTTAATCAAGTGAACCAGTCTAGCCCAAGTTTGTCATTTGAAGTTAATACCTATCTGGCAAGTTTAGTGTAAAGATTAGTATTAATGCATGTAAAGCTTCCTAGTATCATGTTGGGTGTAAAATCAGAACTCTTTAAATTTAGCAAGACGATTTAAGTATTCCCCTTAAGATTCCCTCAAGCTGCACTCATTTGCTCACTGGTTGAGCAACAAAAATGATGGGCATCGGGAGAGAAGTGATACGAGAGTATTTTGGTCTAAAGAGAATCCAGGGTATGTTTTGTGGCTCAGTGTTATTTAACTTGTTTTAATGTGACAGCTGGCTACTTGCTGAAGAGTCAGTAAGGCACACTCAAGGGTGGTTCTTTTTGGGTCTCTTTATTCCAGGCATCATTCATATTCACATCCCAAATGTGCATGTAGTATAGCATATTTGTCCTTTGTCTTCACATTACTAAGGCCTTACCAGTTAAACACTGATGAAAAAGTGTTATTTAACCAATCAAATTTTTTGGGTACTGACACTAGGCAAGGATAGGATATGAAGATAATATGAATAAAATCTAAGATCCCTCTCCACAAGTAGTTCAAAGGGACTATGTGTGCTCATCTATTTCCAGCCTTTATCCTATGGTATGTACTTACCTCTTGTTTCTGGAATGATCAACCAATAATACACTGCAGTAGAAAAGATATATAATGTTTTACTGTGTGATAAATGCTATAACTCTGTGGTAGAATTCAAAAGCAAACAAAAAGCCCTGGCCGGTTTGGCTCAGCAGTTAGAGCATAGGCCTGTGAACTGAAGGGTCTTGGGTTCGATTCCTTGTCAAGGGCACATACCTGGGTTGCAGGTTCAATCCTCAGCCCCAGTAAGGGTTGTGTGGGAATCAGCCAATCTCACATCGATGTCACCCCCCACACACACTCCATCGAAAAATCAATGGAAAAATATCCTAAGATGAGGATTAATAAAAATAAATATAATAAGCAAACGAAAGCCTTAGGAACCCTAGAGAGAAATAAGGAATATTGCAGAGGGAAATGGGGAGGTTGAATGTTGGATTGTATCACCAGCTTGCTGGTAGGGGAGAAGGACTAACTGGGAAAGCGAAGATGCAGTCCTAGCTTAGCCAACAACATGAGCAAAGTCTTGAAAGCATAAAAAAATGCATGACCAATGTAGTGAGTTATCTGATATGGTTTGATAGAAGGAGTTAAGACTAGAATGATAGATTGGCTCCAGATTTTGAAGAACTGATGATATAAAAGTTTGGATTTTTTTTTCTGTTTTTGGGTCAGGAGCAATCAAACGTTTTGAGGAAGAGGTGGGATAGGTGATTTAGATAAATGGGTTAGAGCATCAGCCTGTGGACCAAAGAGTTGTGGGTTCAATTCTAGTCAAGGGCACCAGCCTCGGTTGCAGTTTGGTCCCTCGCCCTTGTCAGGGTCCTGAGGGAGGCAACCAATTGATGTGTGTCTCTCTCACATGATGTTTCTTTCTCTCTCTCTCCCTGCCTCTTCCTCCCACTCTAACCGAAGATGAATGGAAAAGTATCCTCAGGTGAGGATTAAAAAAAAAAGAATGGGCAGAAGAAAAGGAACCTAAATGCCAGCTGAGAAAAGGTATTCAGAGGTAGAAAATGGAAGCAAAAAGAGTTTCAGAGTAAGAAAATTGTCAGCATTTTCATTTGTTTCAGTTGGTAGAAGTAAGATGAGAAGTGAAAAGAATTCTTTAGGTTTTGAAATTGCATTGCTGATTTTTTGAAGAGGTTCCTGAGGCTGAGAGATGGGCTGGGGCAGATTTTTGAGAGGGACTGCTCAGTGTGAGTGGGAATACCTGCGAAGTGGTAGAGCTGGAGGCAGTTACTACTACTCCTTCAGGCAGAAAGAGTTTCAAGAAAACCAAGGGAAGATAGATGAACCAGAGCCCTGGACTAGAGGCTGGACTAGCAGTTTATTTGTCTCAAGCATGTCAAGTTCAGTTACCAGTACCACTCACACCTCTTTTACCGAATTAAGTAGATCACTTAGTGGGAGGTGCTTTTTGCCTCTGCTAATTGCACACTAGCAAACCGATGCCACTGCCAGTTCACTTTATGTTCTGCTCTGAATGATGACAACTTTGAAACAGTACAGATATTCAGTAGTACTTTGTCCAAAAATAAATACAGTCGTCCCTCACCACTTTGCGCTTTGACTTTTGCGGCTTCACTCTAGCTTGGTTTTTCACTCTACCGTGCTAGAGTGAAGCCTGGAAATTCCAAGCGGAAAGTGGCGAGGGACAGACTGTATATAAATAAAGAATCCTACTTCGCGGAAATTCATTTATCGTGGTAGAGTCTGGGACTGATTGAATGCGATAAACGAGGGCCGGCTGTAAATTAATTCAAGTTTTTAAAAACTAAACACTGATTATCCAGGAATTGACTGCTTTCAAGGGTATGTAGGAATCTTTACCAGCTGGGTCTGTAGTGTTTTAGGGGAGATTGAAAATGAAGTTGAATCTTCTTTTGGCAAGATCGGGGTGTGCATTATTCACTATGATTTTTGTAGAAGTGCATATTTGGATGTAAAATTGTCACTTATGGCATAGAGCATTGAATTTGGGCAAAAATTTGTAAGGAATTTTGATATCATGAGACTTTTCAATCAGAAATTTCCTCTAGTGATCTTTTATATTCCAATACAGATAAAAGTAACAAGGATGAATGAGAAGTATAACATAATTGAACTTTTAGGTTTGATGCAGGAGGCTGCATAATTAAACACAATTACCTATCATTTTAAGTGACTTGATTTAGTAAAGATACAGAGAAGAAAACATTTCTGAGTTTGCACTCGCCAACCTAGCCCTTTTGGTTAATGGACATGTAATAAGGGTCTAGGCTCATCACTTGTATAAAAGAAAGAAACAAACCGTGAGTACCTACCACATCCCAGGGTATTCATGTGTATATTATTTAAAATGGGATACAAATCCTTACATGGCCTACCTTACAGAATTGTTAGGATGATAAAATGAAATGTGTGTACATTTTGGTAATCTGTAAAGTATTATACAAAGATATGACATTTTTATTAAAGCATACTTTTGCATTAATTTAGATATAAACAAATTAGAATGTGGAATTAGGAAAGCTGTATATTTTTGCCCTAATATTTGTTTCTAAATTGATGTTGCTACCTGTTAATTATTTTAAAATAGGAAGTTACTTTTTCAAAGCTCTAAGTATTTGTGCTTATAATTTTCTGTGTGTATTAGTAAATGATATATGTGTGTGTGTGTATATTCATATTCATATTTCTTGGTAAGTTTTATAAGGGCTTTATGAGATAGGTAATACACTGTTTTCACTATGGAAACTGAGACTCAGTGTGACCAAACTCACACTATTAGTAAGTAGTAGAACCAATATTTTAACTTGAGTTTTTCCCAACTCATAGTTGCATGCTTCACCATCACAAATAGGACTTTTTTTATTTTTCAATCCTCACCTGAGGACATGTTTCTATTGATTTGAGAGAAATAGAGGGAAGGGGAGCAAAAACATCAGTCAGTTGCCTCTTGCATGCACCCCAACCAGGGATTGAACCTGCAACCTTTTTGGTGTATAGGACAATGCTCCAACCTACTGACCCACCAGGCCAGGGCACAGTTATGACTTCTTATTGTCAGTCTATAAAATATTGTCTTCCTTTTTCATTGGGTGGCTCCTGCTTTTCTTTTTCATCTTTATTTGTCATTTATCCTGTTTCTTTAGCAAATATTTGGGCACCTACTATGTGCCAGGCATTGTTGCAGGTGTTAGGGACACAGCTTTTTTTTTTTAATCCTCACCCGAGGACATTTTTCCATTTTTTGTTCAGGTAGAGTGGGAGGGAGAGAGAGGAACAGAGAGAGAGAGAGAGAGAGAAACATCGATGTGAAAGGAACACATCGAGTGGCTGCCACCCGCACAACTACTGACCAGGGCCGGGGACAAACTGCAACCGAGGTATGCGCCCTTAGCGGGAACCGAACCTGGGTCTCTCAGGACCGCAGGCCGACACTCTAACCGCTGAGCCAAACCGGCCAGGGCAGGGGACACAGCTTTTAATGAAACACACAAATCCCTGCCTTCATGGAACTTCGGTTTTAGTTTGCATGATACTTAAAAACAGATGATTAAGCCCTGGCCGGTGTGGCTCGGTTGGCATCATCCTGTGCACTGAAAGGTTGCTGGTTCAATTCTCAGTTAGGGCTCATGACTGGGTTGTGAGCTCCATCCCCAGTTAGGGGCATGCAGGAGGCAGCCGATCAATGTTTCACTCTCACAGTGTTTCTCCCTTTCCCTTCCTCTCTCTCTAAATATTAATTTAAAAAAATCTTTTTCAAAAACATTATTCAAATGTAAAGTGTGTCAAAAGGTGATAGGTAGTATGGAGAAATATAGGAAGAGGGATGACAGTGTATGGGGAGGAAGCTTGTACTTCTTTGTCCATGAGAAATTAGAATTGCAGTCTGAAGGATGAAGAATTAGAATAGGGGGCTTCTTGTAGTAACTGGTACAAGTAGTTAGGATTAAAAACAAAGCAAAATTAGCCCTTCTGGTCTCAAGATAGAGGTTGTGAATACTCTAGAATTTTGCCAGGAGTACACCAAGTTCTGGGGCAAATTTTCATTGTAGAAACGAGGCAAAGGGTGGTCTAATCCAGAGCCCTTGGAGCTCCTGGACTCCCTCTTCACTTCTGCCCGTGGAGGCCAGAGAAGGGGAGTTTTATTGTATAACTTATGCAGTACTGGTTAGTGTTTTGATAAGCCTCATTTCCACTTCTGTTGCTTTCAGATGCCAAAACAAACAGTAAAATATCTTATAAAGTCTATTTTCTGGTCACCTCTTCAAAGAGAATAGGTTGAACTTTGAGCCTTCCAAATCTTCTCAGTTTCATAGTGTAAATACTGAAGTATGTTATTTTTGAGTCTAGTGTATTATACAGAGTTGTCAGTGTCTCTGAGGTCATCGCTTTAGAGGACTTTCCCAGGCCCTCTGCTATAATACTGTTGGTCACATTTTTTTTTACAATGGATAAAAGATTGATTAAACATGAAAACTTTACCTAAAGTATAAATTTTTAAAAAGATAAAGACCTTTGCCTAGTACTGAGTGTTTGGTACAGGGCACACGTTTGTGGCATCAGAAAGGCATCATAATCTAAAGGAAAGATCATACTCTGGAATCACAGATAACTGGGTTCAGATTTTGGTTTTCACTCTAACCAGTTACATTACTACCATTACCTTGCATAAGTTATACCATCTCTTTTTTTTATCCTCACCTGAGGATATTTTTGCATTTATTTTCAGATAGAGCGGGAAGAGAGAGAAACATTGATGTGAGAGAGAGAAATCGAGTGGTTGCCACCCACATGACCCATACTGGGCTGGTGACAAACTGCAACTGAGGTATGTGTCCTTAGTGGGAACCAAACCTAGGACTCTCTGGTCCACAGGCCAACACTCTAACCGCTGAGCCAAACTGGCCAGGGCCCTCCCACTCTTTCTGACGATAAATGGAAAAATATCCTCAGGTGAGGATTTTTTTTTTTTCTTTTAATGTAAAATGCTATATGGGAACAGAAATAAATCAAGTAATCCATTTGGCTCTGGGCTGAATGAGCAGGTTACTAGGAAAGGGAGGGTTGGAGCTGATGAATGAGGAGTTGGAGTTGATGGAGCATAGAAGCAGGGAAAACACTTTAGGAAGAGATACTGTGAGTGCAGATATGTGGAGGTGTTAAAGTACAGGTGCTTTGCCCTGGCCAGTTTGGCTCAGTGGTTGGAGCGGCCCATGGACCAAAAGGTGGAGGGCCCGATTCCAGTCAAGGGCACTTACCTGGGTTGCAGGATCAATCCCCAGCCGCATTCAGGGTATGCAGAAGGCAACCAATTGATGGTGTCTCTCTCTCTCATCAATGTTTCTCCTCCCCTTTTTCTCTCCCTCTCACTTTCTCTTAAAAAAATCAGTGGAAAAATATCCTCGGGTGAGGATTAACAAAAATAAATAATAAGGTACAGGTGCTTCTCAACTTATGATGGGGTTGTGTCCTGATAAACCCAAATATCATAATTTGAAGATACATTTAATACACCTAACTTACCGAACATCATAGCTTAGCCCAGCCTACCTTAAATGTGCTCAGAACCCTTACATTAGCCTACTTTTGGGCAAAATTATCTAATACAGAGCCTATTTTATGATAAAGTATTGAGTGTCTCGTGTAATTTATTTGTATTGCTTTCATAGCATCATAAAGTTGTACCATCGTAACTCAGGAACTAAGTATATATCCTTAATAAAGACATTACCTCCTCTAATATGTTTCTTAACTCCATGTTTGAGCCTTTCTCCCAACTTGTTCCCATAGTTTTTTTGTTTTCTGTTGTTGTTTTTACCCTAAATCAGTACCTGTTAACCTGTGCAGTTTGCCTCTGTTCTCAACGAAACTTATAAATTCCCTTTGGGCAAAAATCTCTTGTTTACTGTTTTCTGTTCTTCATACACTAGCTACTCAGTAAGTAGTCATTGAATGGATGAAGCAAACCTACATTTTAGAAAAAGTTTTCAAAAGTACATTGTGGCACATTCTGAATGCCACACTGCATGTATGTATGTATGTATGTATGTATGTATGTATGTATTTATTATCCTCACCCAAGGACATTTTTCCATTTTTTGTTCAGGTAGAGTGGGAGGGAGAGAGGGGAAGAGAGAGAGAAACATCAACGTGAAAGGGACACATCGAGTGGCTGCCACCCACACAACCATCCAGGGCCAGGGACAAACTGCAACTGAGGTCTGTGCCCTGAGCAGGAACCAAACCCAGGTCTCCCTGGACGGCAGGTCGATGCTCTGACCGCTGAACCAAACCGGCCAGGGCTGTCACACTGCATTTAGATTTAGTCCTATGAAATCTAGTGCTGTGATCATCTTTAATCAAGGAAATTAGTTTAACTAGAAAGCAGCAAGGAATTCAGGATTAGAGCCTTAATTAAAGCTCATTAAATGACCTTTTCTTGGAGTTGCCATTTCCTTATTTGTTTAATATTTATGATTTCTAACTTTTCTTCCAACTATAGTCAGGGATTGTATGATTCATGCTGCCAGGCGGTTGTCTAGGTGAGAGCCTTTGAAGAGAAAATAATGCTTGGCATATGGTGTATGTTCAATTAAAAATCCAAGGAATAAATCAAATTTTTTTTTATCCTCGAGGACACTTTTCCATTTTTTTGTTCAGATAGAGTGGGAGGGAGAGAGAGGAAGAGAGAGAGAGAGAGAGAGAGAAACAGTATGAAAGGGACACATCGAGTGACTGCCTCCTGCAAGGCCCTGATCTAACCAGGGCTGGGGACAAACTGCAACCAAGGCACGTGCCCTTAGCAGGACCCGAACCTGAGTCCCTCTGGACCGCAGGCCGACGCTCTACTGCTGAGCCAAACTGTCCAGGGCTAAATCAGAATCTCTTAATTGGAGCTATTAAACAGACTCTCAGAACCTTTAGTTCTTAGAGGTACAAGATGAGCATAGAGCTAGAGCTACTCACACTAACTGGTTCAAGTTCTCTGACTATAACATTGTATTGTTTGTTCTGTTGCTATTTTGGCAACCAAATGGGAACATTGCCACAAGGTATGCAGAAACAGGTTTTTAAATGGTAGATAAGTTTGAGTTTTTTTCCAGGCCTCAATAAGTAATTGAATTTTCATAAGTGACACATTTTTATTCTTACTGGAAGTTTTTGGCTTCAAACATTTTTATTGGTAATGTTCATATTGAGTTGAGTTCTAAGAAACTATGAGATGGGAAGATTGAATTTTGAATCGACTTCTGATTTTTTGCTATATAAGGTGTTTCCCAACTGTAGAATTTATGATTGCCTCCCTTGAATTTATTTTTCTTAGATGTTAATGTGAAATTTTCTTTCTTAAAAACATATGTTAGTATTTACATTTAAGTATCAATAATGTTAGGAAAACCTAGTGATTGACTTTAGTGCTTTCATTATCACCAATGTGTACAGCTTTACAAATTAAAGGACAGAAAAAGGAAGTTTAGTACTTTTATAACTTTTAAAGGCCAAGAATAGAGTTGCAACGTATGCCAAATAAATTACTATAGGTAGACAAAGTTGTTCTCAAGGAGTGTGTTTTATTTATTTGAAATCTGAAATATTTCAGCTCTGAATATTATCAAATTTTTGTATTATCTGGAATAGAAAACCTAAATTGTAAGTGGTGAAAGTCTTGGGAAAATATTTTGGAAGTTTTGTGTTTTTTTTTTTAAGTTTTTCCTTATGTACTTGGTAAGAATTAGAGCATAATTGAGTATCTGGCAGACATTCTATATGAGTATCTTTATGGTTTTTGTTTTGCAGGCATTTTAAAAATATTTAATCATTCATGAGTTGAGCTTCATTTTCTTGAGTCATGGATGACAAGGCTTCTGTTGGAAAAATCAGTGTCTCCTCAGACTCAGTGTCTACTCTTAATAGTGAAGATTTTGTCTTGGTTTCCAGGCAAGGAGATGAGACACCATCTACAAATAATGGAAGTGATGACGAGAAAACAGGACTCAAGGTAAAACTCCATAACCTAAGTTTCTTTTGCTTAGCCTTGCTAAGCCCATTGCAAAACTCGGCCCTAATGGGAAGGTACATGGACTGTAAGTGAGAACATAGAAATAACAGCCTTTCTTTTTAATGTTAAAAAGTTTTATTTACAGTTAGAGATAGTGACAAATTTATATTTGATTAAGGATATTTAATTTGATTGATTCTAAACTTCTGTTACTCTTAACTATCAAAATTAGTGCTCATAGTATAAACATTTGTCATTTTAGTGTTATTTTCACTTTTCCATTGAATTAGAGGTGATTGTTTTGGTGTATGTAGTGTAAGAGCAGTGGCAGGTCAGCAATGCTATTTATAAAAAACTAGGATTATTGAAATGGAACTTTAATTTCTTGGCTTTGGCCTCTTCTGTTTGTTTATATTTTCTCAAAGAACTATTACTTCTTTTCCCATACTCTGTTATTGTTTTGCTTTTTATGGATATAAATAAAAACAGTTTATTTGTTAATGTCATTTAAAATGTAAGTAGCTTTGCCCGGCCGGTGTAGCTCAGTGGATTGAGCATTGTCCCATGGACTGAGAGGTCCTGGTTTGATTCCTGGTGTAGGGCACATGTCTGGGTTGTAGGCTTGATCCCCAGTAGGGGGCGTGCAGGAGGCAGCTGATTGATGTTTCTCTAAAAAAATCAATTAAAAAAAAATATTAACCCTGGCCGGTTTGGCTCAGCGGTTAAAGTGTTGGCCTGCGGTTAACAGAGAGCCGGGTTCGGTTTCCGCTAAGGGCATGTACCTCGACTGCAGTTTGTCCCCCGTCCTGGCTGGGTTGTGCAGGTGGCAGCCACTCGATGTGTCCCTTTCATGTCGATGTTTCTCTCTTTCCCTCCCTCCTGCTCTATCTGAATAAAAAATAGAAAAATGTCCTCGGGTGAGGATAAAAAAAATAAAAATATTAAAACGTAAGTAGCTTTAAAAACATTTTGCTTCCTGTTTACATCTTTTCATTCAACAAGTTTTTATTAAGCATCAACTGTTGCCAAGTACTATTTTTTTTTTAATCCTCACCCGAGGACATTTTTTCCATTTTTTGTTCAGATAGAGTGGGAGGGAGGGAGGGAGGTAGGGAGAGAGAGAGAGAGAGAGAGAAACATCGACGTGAAAGGGCCACATTGAGTGGTCGCCACCTGCATGACCCAACCAGGGCCGGGGACAAGCTGCAACGGAGGTACGTGCCCTTAGTGGGAACTGAACCTGGGTCTCTCGCTCTAACCGCTGAGCCAAACTGGCCAGGGCCCAAGTACTATTCTAAATACTCAGGTTATAGTGGTGAGTAGACAGGTAAAATCCTGTGTCCTCCAAGAGCTTTTTTATTAATGGAGGAAATAGACTCTAAGCAAGTAAGAAAATGAATGTTAGTAAATTTAGGTACTGTGAAGAAAATCAAAGTGGGCCATGGGTAAAGAGTGAAGGAGCAAGTACTATTTTAGATAATGTCTTGAAATGACATGTGAGCAGAGACCTGAATGAAATGAAGAAGAAGGTCACGGAGGAATCTGGGAAAAGAGTTTTCAACAGGGAACAGAAGACAGAAAGACCCTTAGGAGGGTCCCCCTTACTAGGACAGAGATAGAACACAGTGAATAAAGTAGATAAAATGTGTCCAGGACGAGGTCCAGTGATAGGTAGGGGCTAGAGTATATAGAACTTTTTAGAGCTTTAGAAATTCAGACTTTGTTACAAATGTGAAGGGAATTTTTGGAGAGTTTTGAATGGGGCATGATCTACTTTATATTTTTTTAAAAATCACTGGTTGAGATATTTGCAATATGATAGCATGAGGATCTCTGTGGACTTGCTCCCCAGCAAAACTGGTGACAGTTATTAAAAAACAACCAGGGAAAGTCTATGGAAATGTTCTTTTTTTTTTTTTTTTTATCCTCACCCAAGGATATTTTTCGATTTATCTTCAGATAGAGAGAGATGGAAGGAAGAAGAGAGGGGAGATAGAGAGAAACAAACATCAACGTGAGAGGGCCACATTGACTGGTTGCCTCCCGCACGACCCCGGTCAGAGACAAACCACACTTGAGGTATGTGCCCTTGGCCAGAATCGAACCCGCGAGCCAAATCAGCCAGGGCTGGAAATGTTCTAAAGGGCCTACTGCAAATGAAGAAACATTTATTTAAGGAAATTGCTAAAATTTAGTAAAGATCTGTGGTATTTGAACCAAGACCTTTTTTTTTTTTCTTCTCCTCTGTCTCAGCCAAACAACATAACTTCATTTCCAGGTTGGTATAGTCAAGAAGACAGGGTTCTCTCTCCCCACCAGCTCCCAGTCACAGGGCTATCTTACAGGAAAGAGCAGGACTACAGCATTTCTCACCCTGCCTCCAGCTACTTTTTTCTGGTCGAGTGTGACTCAGTGCTGGGGGCTCCCTTTTTTTCCTCAGCCTTGACTCTGCATGGAGGCTATACTTTGGGCATAGTGCTGCTGAGTATCCTGGGATTCCAGGAGCCTGATTGCCCTTGTCTTGACTCTGGCACATAAGGTTCCACACCACTAGAGGCAAGCCAAAAGGGCTTGAGAGTACTATATCATCTCCCATACCCACCAAGTGCTCAGCTTCTGAAGATGAGGTATCACTCAGAGAAACGCATGCCATTGTCTGTACTGTCAACCTTACAGCTGTGGCTCAGAGGTTTTGCCTGTAGTGAGAAGGGGGCCATGAAACAGCTCCTGATCTCTTTCTCAAGGAACTGACTTTATTTACAAAAGAGTCTGGGGATATTCAAGCCTAAGGGCACTCTTAAAAACAGTAGATTATAGTGAAAGGCAATTGGGAGGAGATTTGTAGATTGATTGAACCTATAGGTTTAACTATAAGATTGCTGGGAGAAGACCACCTAGGATCAGAACAAAATTCAAGCACTGACTTCTAGAGCTCAGTTTGGTATGTTCTGTGGAGCAGTTTATATCTGAGTGTCTTGTTGAAAACTATATAGTAGTCAGCCACGGTTACTGGAGTTTAACGTCTAGGTGTGGTTAGAGAAGGCGACAGAGTGCCTTTTGAAAACTACTCTCATCCCAGGATGATTGTAGGGAAATCCGAATCTAAGCTCCCAGAGGAGCAACATCAAGGGCTTAACACTCTGGGAATTGGGAGAATAGAATTTACTAAAATAAGCCAGCCAGTCATTAAACAAATAAGCAAGCATAAAAAATACCAAGAGTGGAAAGACCAATACTGAGAATTGGTACAATATATTACCTAAAATTTCTAGTTTCCACCAAAAATAATTGTAAGAAATGCAGAGAAACAAAATAGAACCCATGCATCAGAAAAAAAAGCAGCATATACTGCTTGATAGCATATACAGCATGATACTTACATGTTGGATTTATATGCAAACTCTTGAAAGTAGTCATTATTAATATGATCAATGAACTGAAATAAATCATGCTTAAAGAAATAAAGTACAATGGCAGTATCAAATTAAATGAAGACTATCATTAAGGATATTGAAATTACAAAAAAAGAACCAAGTGACAGTTTTGAATGGAAAGGCACAACAACTGAAATGAAACATTCACTAGACCCCTGGCCTGTATGGCTCAGTAGATAGAGCATTGGCCTATGCACTAAGGGGTTTCAGGTTCAATTCCCAGTCAAGGGCAGGTGCCTGATATGCAGGTTCGATCCCCCGCAGGGTTGGGGGTGTATGTGGGAGCCAACCAATAAATGTCTCTCTCTCTGTGTCCCTCCCTCCCTCCTTCTCTTTCACTCTCTAGAATGAATGAATGAATGAATGAAAGAAAAAAAATATATCCCCGGGTGAGGATTAACAAACACAGAAACAAAACACTAGAGAGGCTCAATAGTAATTTTCAAATGGCAAAAGAAAGAGTTAACAGAAGATGATGTCATCAAAATAGCAGTATAGTAGTTTTCTACCATTCCGCCCTCAAAGAACACTGATTTAGACACTCACAGGTCAGAGAACCTTTGTGGAAGTCCAGGAGTCCAGCAGAGAAGTTTCAGCACAGTGCTAGAGTATAAAACAACTTAGATTGAACTCATTGAAGACAATCAAAGGAGTAGTTTCACTTTACCTGCGTGTCACTTCTACCCCAAGATGACACAATTCACTGCCTAGAGAGACTTACTCAGGTTGTGATTTCTTTCACAGGGAAAAGTGAGAGTTATGATTGAGCACCTGGCTTTCCCAGCTGTGTGAGACACTCCTAGTGAGGCCCATTCTTTTCTCATCTCATCTAGAATACTGAGTTTTGAAATGCACAACCTGGGAGCAGACAGTTTTAAGAGAGAACAGCAGCCAGGGTAGGAATGGAACATATCCTATTAAGGATAGGAGAATTCATCAGGGAGCCTACCCATGAGCCACTGGGTATGCCTTCATGCTGATCCCCACAACTGACCTATGGGCACCTCCAAGTTTTGTGCCCCTCACTCCCCCTCCCCCGTGGCTGCCTCCTGTACATACCCCTGAGGGCAAGAATGGTGAGCCTTGGCTGATGGCTACTGAGCATGCCCAGGAAGTCACCCTGGTTCTGCAAGATTGAGAGAAGCCACATACTTGTGCACTCATCACCATCTTAGGGAAAGCAAATGCAATAGAGAGCATCAGCAACAGATTGGATCAAGCAGAAGAATGTACAGTACTTGTGAAGTAGAAGACAGATCATTTGAAGTTACCTAATCTGAGAACAAAGATAAACTTTTTTTTAAAAACCCGTATTGTTGAAAGTATTACAGATGTCCCCTTTTTTCAAAGATTGAAAAAAAGTGAAGAAAGCCCATGTGAATGATGGCATACCATTAAAATAAAGAATTTATTTATTTTTTTGAATTCCAGAAGGAGAAGAAAGGGAGAAATGGGTACAGAGTTTATTTGGAGACATAATTATTTGAGAACTTCCAAATTTTGGGGAGAGATTTGGATATCCAAGTTTATAAAGCTTATAGGTCCCCCCCAAATTTTGACCCAAAG